GATACTCCTTTAGAAACACAATGGAGGGAAGAAGGGGTTTGAATATATCACTCAGTAAGGAAGGTTCTGTGCTCCATCTCTTAGCATGAAAGGAGTCAGCCTCAGCAGTTGTGAGTCATGCTTCATCAGCCAGGAGAAAATATCCTCCTCGGAGAGATGGAAAGTGGCAAGAATGAATTCAAAGGTTAGGGTGGGTGGACTACCTCTGCTATGCTGGCCCCCCACCCCACCAGTCCTGGATAACTCCCCACCCTAACTTTTTCCATTTCAGCACCACAATACATTTTGCTGCTGCCATTGTTAAACAACTGGCCTTCAGAAAGCCATGCCTGTCTACTTCAGATCATAAAGATATCAGCCAGTAGATCCAGAACAACCTTCTGGCCACCCCTGATTTAGATGGCTATGCCTTCAGTCATACATTCAGGCTAACTGGCCTTTCCCCAGCCCTTCCAGCACCCTGGAACGAGGTGATTTGTGCCCCTGATGTGCCTATCTTTCTATACAGCGGGGGGGGGGGGACGAGGGACATCCATGGATCTCCAGACATTACTGGACTATGACACCCATCATCTCTGACCATTGGCCATGCTGACTGGGGCTGATGGGAGTGGGAGGGCTGCAGCTCTCCCACCCCTGTAATATAAGGTGTTCAGAAAATATTGGACTTGTTCACCATAACGAGCCAAATTCTCCTACTACCTGGAGCCAGCCCTGCTTTGTGGGAAGTTCTACCTGGAGCCAGCCTACCAAGTTCATTTTCAAAGTTAAGAGAAAGGTGATTTGCTTATGCTTGCTTGAACAAGCTGCACGTCAGATGTCTCAATGGTCTTATGTTCGCAGGAATGCAAGGAAAAGCTAGTTTAGGCAATCTTCCTGTAGAGAAGGAATAGGGAACTTGTGGCCCTCCAACTCCCATCCGTCCCAGCCAACATGGACATGGGTGATGGGATTTGTAGTCCTGACACATCTGGAGGGCACCAGGTCCTTCATCCCTGCTGTAGAACTTGTCTGGCAGTGCCTTCTTCTAAAAACACCCTTGATTGCAAGATTATCATATGACTGTGAGTGCCAATCATCCTGGGCTAGACTGAATTTTCCTCCCTGCCAGGAATGCTCATTTGAGAACAAAAAATGCTGGGGTTGAATGAGGCCCCCAAAAAGGCTTTCTCTGCCTTTTTATGGGAGTTGCAAATGCAAACTAGATTAAACTTGCTCTGTGTTATTATCTAGCACATCTAAAGTGCAAGTCTTCTTCCTACCACACAAAGCAGATTGGCTGAGAGAGAGAGAGAAAATGCTGCAGTCTTGCAAGCACACAACACATGCGCCTGTATCATGCTCTGATTACGGTTTCCACACAGTGTTTCTTCAACTCCCTCTCCTGACATAAACCAGCACACCCCCCTTTCTGCCAGGAGGCACCTGTGTTTGATCTTCAAATGGAGCAGAGATAATCTGAAAGCCAAGAAATTACACGCTCCTCTTTGCGAATTCCAAAACCATCCCTTCCTCTGAGACCCAACAGCCACAGCAGCAGAAAAGAAGAAAATGTGTTTGTTAAACGGGGGGGGGGGGGAGAGAGAGAGAGAGAGTATGCCACTGTATGGAGTCGCTGCTACAGTGCACATAAATATTGAATGCTGTGCCGAGCCCCCTCTGGTAGCATAATATGAAGTCAGATCTCATATGGAGGATATGTATAAACAGGTTCTGTTTCTGAAGGAGCAATTCTGAAGGCTAAACTCAGGATCTCTGGTTTCCAGGGTTGGGTCTTTTTGGCTGAAGGTGGAATGTAGCATTTGTAAGGCAGTAGAGATGCTTTGGAAGTTCCTGGCCAGTATAAATGCATGCTTATTCTTCACCAGGAAGCAGCAAGTTATTAGGTGGATTCCTCAGTAGATTTCCCCTTTAAATGCCACATCTGTCTTCAGCCTGAGTGAACAGGTGGGGGTGGGGTGGAGGAAAGACATGGACGGTCCAGATAGCCAAGACTGGTCCCTTTCCCCTTCCTGCCCCACACCACCAGCCCATACTCTTCTGATGCCAATGGAAGCTGGCCTTCTGCATGGCCAGGGGCAGGGAGAGCATCCCTCCTTGCAGCAGAGGCGGATTTAGGGCCCCACACCTAGGGGGCGCTGCAGGGCATTGCAACCAAGACATAGTGAATTGAGTAGAATGGAAGGTGAGAGGTGTGGGGGGGGGAGGCTCTGAATTTTGGCCTTGCAGAAGGTGCCACTGAAATGTGAAAGACCCAAGTCCTTCCCTGTTGTCAGCACTGGATTAAGATACAGTGAGGCCCCAGGCCATGTGGAGTTTAAGAGGTCTGTAGTGGTGCTAAAATCAATGCTATTTTTGGTGTATATTTTTGGTCCTATCAGAACAATTGTGTCTATTTTAGAGTCTCTTTCCCCAGTTTCCTTTAATTTTTTAAAAAGCCAATTATGTAAGACTTGAAATTCAGTAAAAATGTCAACTTAGTGTAAGTTTTACTCAGCATAGACCCACTGAAATTAATGAACATATGACTTACGTTAGGGTTATTCGTTTCAAAAGGTCTACTATGAGTAAAATTTAGCTGAATGCAAACCCTCATATTTAGAGGTCATTCATAGTCTGAGGCCCTAACCTGTTGTTTGCTTAGGTTGCCCATAAATCCGCCACTGCCTTCGCTCCCTGGGAGTGGGCTGTTTTTCACTGCAGCTGCAGTACAGGAGAAAGGGTTAACTCATGCTCCCTCATGATTTTGAGCCTAACCTCCACCCCCACCCTGCCTCAGAAAAGTGGGGGAAGGTACAATTAATGCACTCACAATTCTTTTATTCTTTTAAGTGTCCATTCGGACCCTTTTCTCCATCAAATTCTCTATATTGCTTCTGGGCAGGTTTGCTTAACACTGCAGTTGTGCAGCGTCTTCAGACGTTGTAGGGGTTCTCGTGGCTCAAAACCAAAGAGACAGTTTTTATGAAACACATTTTTCTCCATGATTATTCCTAAGCCTGTATATCTCACAAAAGGTGTATTTGTAGCTGACTTTATAAAAGAAAAAGCGGCACAGTTCAGATCATTGCTGAATGGGCCATGCCCTCTGGCAGACTCTGTTTGGGTGAAGTCCCATCTCTTAGAATCTGTTTAATCCTGCGTGGTGTCTAGTAGCATGTTGGAGCTGTGAGTTTCTGGGATCCTGCCGGAATGGTTTCTGGTCTGCTGGAGTTACAGAAGGGGAGCCTGGTAGTCCAGCAGTGTTCTAGTTCCCATGACAACACCCTCTTACGTTTCCTGGGTGACAGAGCCGCTCCAAATTAGGTACCCTGTGTGGTGTGTGAAATATTAGAGGCTGTGTCAAATGTTTGCCTGTTTAGCTTTCTATTTAGCAAAAGTCATGCTTTTGAAGGGGAAGATGCATCCTGAACACACCTATAATGTTGAAGTCATGGAGGGTAAATGAAGCAGCCCTCAGGAAGTATTGCCCTTATTCCTAACACATTGTTGTGCACCAACACTATCTCCAAGCAGTGCAAGATTCCAGGGGTTACAGCCGTTTACCCAGGGTTCGTGTTTCCTTTTGGGAATGAGGCATGGCAGAGACTGTGGTGTCTGTGATATAAGGCTTCTTTACGCATATATACAACCTGCGCCTACAATGGAGGGGTTCCCAGCATCAACACCCCAAAGGGGCATTGTTTCTTTGATAGCTGCAACCATGGATTCAAGCAGAAATCAGCCATGTCTCTCTGACCCTCTGCTTGCTACTTTTTCCTCTCCCTCACATCACACAAAACTAAACTCTGAACTCTGGGTTTTGTTCTTATCACTATCTCATTGCTGGAGGAGGGACCCCACCCATTTGTCACCCACAGTGGCTTAGAGTGGGGGGCTGAGGGGTGCGTGGCCCGGACGCATTTTGGGGAGGGGGTGCAACTAGGCACCCCCATGATAGGCTCCCCCATTGGAGCCTGGCTCTGGTGGGCGAGGGAGCTGCCGAGCCAGTTTCCTTGCTCCCGGCTGCAGTAGCTCCACTCCCGGGTCAAGCCTGGGGGTGGAGTGCAGGAGAGTCAGCCGCAGTACTGCCTCTCTCCTCAACTGGGCTACGTGTGTGCCTGGCTGCAGCTCCACTCCTGGGTCAGGTCTGATGTTCGGATTAGTGATGTTCACATCTAGTATTCAGATGTCTTTTCCCACTTACCTCCTGTCCTGGGTAAAACTGATTAGCGGATGAGTTGGCAGGAAATACCTCTTTGGGCCCAATGAGGGAAATATTTTCTGTATTGATTTTATATTGTTTTTTATTTTTTGGTTAAAAGTCAAAAGCAATGCTCAGTCAGTCCTAATTGCTTGTTTGCACAGTCATCAGTCATTCTTTTACATTTCTCTGACTAGGCATTCTCAGACCCATTGGGCTCCTGAAGAAAGTTGCAAAGCTCCGCAAAGGCCTGTGGTCCTGGGCCTCAATCAGCAGCTTGAGCCACAGATAACCCTAATCCCAAAAAGTACTACAACAAGGAGAACCATAGAAACACAATAAATTGAAATGAATTTGATGAGAAGCAATTTAATCCATAAAATGAAACATTCCAAAAGTTTAATGAGCCACCACCACATTATAACAACATTATGGAAGAACTCCACTCAATACACTCTGAGAATCCACGGGAGTTTTCTCATTCATGCTATCCTTCCCCCAAATAATCCTGGGAATTGTAGTTTGCCCCTCACAGAGCTGTAGTTCCCAGCACCACTACACTATAGTTCCCAGGATTCTTGAGGATAAGCAGCGTCCTTTTGTGCATGATTTTCTGGGGGGCAGCTAAGGGCGTTACTTGCACCTGTTGAACAAGTGAACCAGGTTTATCTCCTGACTGATTTGGTGACTCCCCCTGGCTTGCCAAAATTATGCCCCCTTCATCATGGCATGATTCTGTCTGCTTCTTTATTAACGTATTGCTCTTTTTCCCCTCCCTTGTGTCTCCTCTCCACACATACAAATCTTTCTCTCCCAGAAATTGATGAAGACCGGCTCCCCAACCCTCTTTTGAAGGTATGTACAACTTCTCCAAGGGGTGAGGAACTGAAGTCCAGTTTCATTTATCCAGCAAAATTGGGTGCTAAAGTATGTCCTGGATAGAGGCATTTCAAGCTGCTGATACAGTTTTAAGGCACTCCCAGTGAAAATTCTCCATGCACATAGAAAAATGAAATGCCAGTGAAAAGGTTCTCCCTGGTGTGCTAGCTTTCTATGTGAAGAGGATGGGGGGTTGTTTGTTGGCAAGCATTGACACAGGCAACCTTCTCCCACCATGCACCTAGTCCAGGAAAAGGCTTCATTGCTTGATCGTATAGTAAAGTGGTATTTATTTAACATTAATTTGGGGAGTGAGAAAGAAAGAATATTATCTTTCTAAGCCAATCCAAGTGCTCGGAAGGGTGCCTTCTGATCCTCACCAAAAGTCTTGCCATCACCACCAGCTCCACCACCTAATGCACATCCTTTCATTTCGGTTGGTAATCATATAAGTCTTCAGAAGAGCTACTGATCTCATGGTAGGAGGACAGAGGGAGCATTTGCCACTGCTGCTCCTCTTCTTTGACTTAAGCAGTGGCTTGAAGGAGGGTGTCGTGATGGTGCTGGCGGCAAGATCTGGTGTGGATGGGTAGGGGGGAGCTAACACTTCTTACCTCGTTTGGATTTTAATCTAGCCAGGGAAAATTTCCTGGCCTTGAAATATTTCCTAATGTGGCAAGTTTTAGGAGCTGCTAAAATTCTTCTCCAAATGTAGAGCGGTTCACCAGCATCTTCCACCTCCTACTGTCAGCTGATGGGCATGTGGGGGCTCACCTTGTACCATCAAAGGAGTAATCCAGAATGCACCTTAAGTTCCCAAATGTTCCTTTGAAGCCTCACCCATAACCACCTCACACCTGATGCCATGTCAGGTGTAAGATGGGCTTCCACAGAACAGTCTCACAAGTCTAATGGGGAGGCCTGGCAATTTGGCCCATGTGCCCGCAGGCTGCTCACCCCTGCTTTAAGAGCCCCATAGTGAGTAGAAAGTCAGCAGCTGCTGGTTTTCCTGCCATGAGACTGCAGTGAATGGGAGCACTTGCCACATCATGCCTCCATGGGAGTGGACAAATCAGGCACACTTTTTGGTTTGAATCTTGAAGGGAGGGGCTGCAGGTGGGGAGGGACTTCTTCTGGCAGGTTGTTGCTATGTAGACTAAAGGCACCTGCCCATCAGGCAGTGGCACTTTCTCTCCAGATGGACCGGGCCCATCGGAGAAGAGAGGCTGCATTTTGAGAGGCCTTGTTCTCACTGTGCATTTTCTCTTTCATTCCTGAACTGGCAGGTTCCAGATTCAGGACATAGCTAAAGTTTTGCTCCAGAGTTTCCACCTAGGGGCTCCTCAGGTATTTTCACCTCTCCCCCCACCCCCACCTTTCTTTACAGCCAGGAATGTCGATGTCTCCAAGGCAGAGGAAGAAGGTTTCTCGCACCACCCCCACCATGAAAGGTAACAGTGGCTGCAGTTTAGGGACTAGTTGACTAGTGAAGGACCCTTAATGGTTCTTGCCACTACCCAGCATGAGCATGTTGCTTCACTCTGGGAAGGAATTGAGGTTTTTTTTAACTTCGTACAGATATTGGCAGTGCTTTGAAAGCAACAAGCTCTCTCGCTGCTTTCTCCCGCTCTGAAAGGCTTGGCACAATGTCTTTCTCTGCACTCTAGAGAAGATCAAGAGTTCTGTCAGTGAGGTTCTGTGCAGGATAGGCTAAACCCCTGCGTCTTCCCCACTTGGAGATGGGGGAGAGCGTTGGGGCTTACAGCCACAGCTCCTTCAAATGGCAGCATGTTTCACCCCCGTAGTATTTCCCCCTTCTCTTTGTGAGGTAATGGCAGGGTCAGTAGCCAGCACAAGTTTTTGTCTGGCTGTCTATTGACTTGCTTGCTAAAAGCACTGAAGGCCCACAGATGGAATGGCTGTTTTTTCAAAGGTGTGCATGCGCATGCGCACACACAGACACACTGCTATGTCCCTTGCTTGGCAGTATCCCAGGAATGCCATCCTGTAATTAATGACATGGTTGTTTAAGAGAGATTAGGATTTATTTTTAAACAAGCATCCTCCAATTATAGGGCTGGAAGGTACCTTCAAAGGTCATCCAATCCATTCTGTTCCCCCCAACTGGTCTTAAGCCCATTTGCACGTAAACAGCCCTAGGCAGATGCTTCTCCCAACCTATTTTTACAAATGCTCATTCATGGCATTGCTCCAGAATGTCCAACTCTTAAAGACGTGATCTATACCCATGGAAGACCCACACCTCCCCCCCCAGTGGGTCTGTACCAATTTAAGATGGATCCCTGCATGTAGAACAGTTGCCAACCTGATATCCGCTTGTAGTGAGGGTTTTAGTTATTTTTCACTCATGCAAACCTACCCACTCCCATTTGCAGTTGAACATTCTGAAGTGCCCACAAAGATGTCCTGTGTGATTCTTCTGTACTTGTGGATGGGTTCTAAGTTGTCTCTGTATTTTCCCATCTACAATTTTCTTCTTTCTTTCTGACTAAATGTGTCTGGTCCCCCCTCCTCCTCCTGCAATCTTTCCTCATAAATTTTACATTGAACCACTTTATCTTTTGCATTGCTCTACATTCCCTCCAATTTGCCCACCCTGCTATTTTTTAAGCCTTGCAGAGCACAATTCTCAGGCTGTGACAGAGTCACAGGATCCATTTTGGAGCACAGAGAGGTCAGGGTTGAAAGAGGAACAGGTTCCATAACTAGAGGTCATTATGACTCGTGGGTGATGGAGAAATTCTGTTTTCCAGAAAACAGGTTCAAGTTCTGACAACCAGGATTCAAGGTCAAATATTCATATACTAGTTGGAAAGAAGAAAGGTCATTAGGCATTGGGTCAAAAAGGGTGATAATGGCACTGACAATGTGCTCCTATGCATATCTGCACAGAAGTGAGTCCTCCTGGGTTTAGTGGAACTTACTCCCAGGTAAAGTATATAAAGGAGCCCAGGGGTAGGAAGCGTGGAGTACAGGAAGTGGTTTAGAACACTGTTCTTCAACCTTGGGGGATTGTAACTAACAAAGTCTTTCTGTTGGCACATCTCCACAATGGGACTTTGCCTCCCCCACATCTAAATCCATTCTGTGGTTTACCCCAACCCTCTGGAACAAATTGCACAGGGGGCAGGAGAGGAGAGGGAGAGAAAGTCCTGGTACACAGGCAGAAATCCTTGCACCAAAGGGACCATTTCGTTGGCCACAACCCTGTGTGTTGGGCTACAACAACACCTTCCTTCAGTTCCCAAGTCATCAAAAGCCACTGCCTACTGGTAGCTGAATGTTTCTCAATGAACAACTCTCCTTTTTTACAACTGGGCTTAAAAAAATTAAATGTGTGCACAGGAAATTGTCCCAGACTCTTTAAATTTCATATTTTTCATGAGGTTTTCTTCCTCCCCTCCTCCCCCTTTCAGAGCTCCAGCTGATGGTTGAGCACCATCTCTGCAAGCAGCAGGCGGATGAGGAGGATGTCAGCACTGGGAGCCAGGAGCCACACAGTCCAAGCTGCTGCCCTCATGCCAACTCAGAACCTGGCCACAGTCCTGGGAGTTGCCCTTTGGCCCAAGCTCATGCTCAGCTGGGCATTCAGCAGGGGGAGCCCATTGGCCTGGAGGAACGTGAGTATGTTTCAGTCAACTAGAGGCATTAACCCACTTTTCCTAGCTAGCATGGGTGAAGGGAGTTGTCGTCCAAAACATCTGGAGGGCATCAGGTTTATGAAAGTTAGCCTACATTTTATGCTTTATTTTAGGGTTATCATATTTAGAAGAGCAAAAAAGAGGACACATTTGCCAACTTCTACTTTTAACAATGGATAACTATGACGACCTCATTTTAAGTACCCATGAAAAAGAGAACATGTCCTGGAAAAAGAGGACATATGGCAACCCTACATTTTATCCCATAGAACTCAGTGGGGGCATAGAGGTCTTTTCTGATTTGTGCAGCCCTTTATCTGCATAGCACCACTCTGGAATCTGTTGTTGTTGTTTTTAATGGTCCATGTAATATGATTGGTCCATGACAGCCTATGTGCAAGCAAGCTGTGCATTAACACGGTGCTGCTGCAGATCATGCTAATAGCCTGTGCGTGTGGCAGGACACTCTTCTCCCCCACACTGCAGCAGGCAGCCTGAAGGCAAAGTCATGCCAAAAAATCCTTTGTCTAATAAGGAGATCAAACAGTGGCCTCTAGCGGCTGTAGTTCAAAATGATAGCCGAGCTTTGCTTGAGTCGTGTGTGTGTGTGTGTGTGTGTGTGTGTGTGTGTGTGTGTGTGGGAGGCCTTCCTGGAGGGAAGCGTTTTGATCCACTCCCTGTCTTGATAAATGATTTATCAGGGATGTTCTCTCTAACAAGCTCTGCCCAAGCCCCTTGTCAAATATTCATAGTGTGAGCGTGTCCTGCAAAGTGCTGCGGCTGGATGATGGGCTCAAAACAGCTGTGGTCTCTCCTTTGACATTTCACAGAAGAGGGAAGATGGCTGCTCTTGTTTTCCATTATAAACAGGACTTCAGAGTGCAGCAGGGAACAGACAAAAAGAGCAAACTGCTTCCCTAGAGACTTGTGTCATGTCCCACCAAGGGTTGTGAGTGGGGTTCTCCCCCAACACTAAGCTCAAGTAATGTATGTTTTATTATTTCCCTTGGTTGAGAACTCACAGCTTTTGAGGAGCATGCTATGGGAAGCTGTCATTCAAGGTATAACAACTGGAACTTCAGCCAGGGCCAGCCTAACCGTAGAGTCAGGCTAGGGGCCTTCCTCAGCTTTCTCTTGGAGACCATTGCCTGCACCTCTGGAGGAAGGGCACCCTTGGCAGAGGCTTAGCTGCTGGGCTGAAATTGCCCTTGTCATTTCCTGGGGATTCAACCAAGAGCCACCTTGATCTCTCCCAGCTACCCTGGGGCACAGGCACAATTGTAAGCTGGAGGAAGTAAAAAAAGTGGCAGGCATTGGACCATGTTTCTCCTCGTGAACTTGGCTTTGGGGGCATAATAAAAAAGGCAAAACAGGTCCAAGGTGTTTGGGCTATTTTATGAGAAAATGTGTGTCTGCTATATGGGAGACTCAACAAGAACAGTTCTTCTTTTGCTTGCCCCAAGTGAGAACATAGGAGCTCGGCTGGATCAAGCTAATGGCCCATCTGGTCCAGGTTTCTGTTCTGAGAGGGCCAAGCAGATGCCATTGACAGCCTGCTCCTCCCTCCGTGAATTTATCCAGCCCTTTTTGAAGCCATCCAAGTGGGTGGTAATTCCTGTATCTTGTGGGAACAATTTGCACAGTAGCTATGCACTGTGGGAAGAAGTGTTTAATTTTGCCTGACCTAAATCTTCCAACATTCAGCTTCTTTGGATGTCCCCAAGTTCTAGCATTATGAAAAATGGAGAAAAACATCTGCCTCTGAACTTTCTCCTTGCTGTGTACAATTTTATATACATCTATTGTGTCCCTCCTGAACTCACCTTTTTTTTCCTAATTCCAGAGGGTGCATTATAGAGAAACAGTGTTGTGTTAGAAAGGTGGGGTGGGGGTGTGGGGGGTGTGAGAGAGAGAGAGAGGGAGAGCTGCTGTTGACTGAATGAATTGTACAATCACAATAGTAAAGGACTGGTAAAAGAGGTAGCATCTTACACTTTTCAGCGCTTCCATAGACAGAGGTTTCTAATCTATGTAACTGATAGATGTCCAGGAATCTGAGGGTGAGATTCAGTCCAGATTAAGGAATGTCCAGCACAATAGCATGTGATTTAAATTACAAGGATTTAAAATGAAACTGAGAAGATGTAAATCCAGTCAACTCTTGGAAATGTTAGGTGGCTTGTTTTGTAATAGGACACAGTGGTGGAGAGTTCAACATTTTGACTTGCCTAAGGCAGCATCAACAAGAATCTTTTGAGCTAGCCGTATTTTTAATACAAACTGGCCCAGTATCACGAAGCAGCAAAAGACAATACACCCAAAACAAAACCCATTACAGGGACAAGCATTATCACATTCATTCTCCTTGCAAGAACCTAAAAACTCTTGGATGTCTTGAATTTTGGTTAAAGGAATGGTAGTTCTAGTTCCTTTTTGATGTTTTGTAAGAGCGTGATTCAAGAGAGGTTTAGAGTTGGACTCAGTGGCATGAAACTGCCATCCTTAAGAGATGGAATAAGCCGCAGTGCCCAGTCAGTTAGCCTGGCTCTCTTAATAACTCCACCCTATGGCACTTCATACATAGGA